GCCCAACTTCACTCGTTACAGCGATTTCCTACACAGAGAACAGTTTGAGATATATACCTCTTTTACTGAAAAGTAGGTTAGTTGATGGGAGTGACCTTAGAGGTAGAGAAATTATTCTTCCCTAGGCATCCTTCCCACTGTATTTAAGAGAGAGAAGCCTACATGACCTCATTAAAACCTGCTATAAAGATACATTTTCGAAATCTTATTGTACCAGCTAGTTTGATTCTTTTTCCAACAAGTGTGATCAGTAGCCACAATGATTGTCTATTTGGGTTCTTCTTCTTCTGAAAGAACATATTTGTTGGTATATTACATGTGTACATGTATTTGAAAGGATTGTTCTACATTGAATGGAGCAGTCTACATCGTGTAAGTTGTTAAAATTCTATTTCATTGTCAAGCACCTGGAGTCATCATGGAATGAGCGCTATAGAAGTGATCCTTATGATCGTTATATCATTTATTATTATTATTAAGATTATTTCTATTATTATTATTATTATTATCATTATTATAATTACTTTTATTATTATTATCATCCCTTCTCACCTCAACCTTGTGCAGCTGTGCCTCAATAGCATGCCTGTCTCCCCTCACATCGCTGCACAGACCAAGCTTGTCCATGGCCGAGCCCAGCCAATCAGACGTGTCCATGTATGTGTCGCGGTATGTCTGGTGATCCCGCAGGTTCTTCTCACAAGACTCGTTCAGTTCCTGGAATGGAACAAATGGCATAGATAGATATACAGTCCTAATACTCACCTGAATGTCCCAATAAAATATTTAAACATGAAATAAGTTCATGTTCATCATGACTTTCTTTTCCATGATTTGAGTGACAACATTCCATTTGAGTACGAGCTTTTGTATATTTTTAGAATGGAAGTATTGAGACTCAGTCAAGGTTTGATTATTTTCTGACTAAGGGACATTAAAGAAGTAGCAAAATAAACAAAGGAAAGAAAGATAATATAGGGTCTTCTGACAAAAAAACCTTTAAAGTTTAAGCAAAAATACAGATCGTGAAAAGAAAGAATGGCACCCTAAGACAGAAAGATACTATTCTATTATAGCTAAAATTCTTAAGCTTATAAAGACTACAAGGAATTATACTTATTTAATGAATTCACAGTCAAATCCAGAAATATTTGTTCAAGTTTTAGTCTATGCAATGAATAAAACACGGTCTTCTAAGAACTTTGTCTGACCTTTGCCCTCTGCACCAGTTTCTCGTAGCGATCGACTACATGTGCGATCTGTGCTCCGAGGTTGCCGTCGCGGCTAGTACGCTTCAGACTCAGCCCTTTCTCATTGAGACTGTCGATGGTGCTCTGTTGACTGGAGATGTTCAGTTGGAGAACCTGTGAATGGAAAAATGACAGACCACAAACTAAGTTGAGATTCAGCCTCAATAACTTTGCTGTTGATCTTATTATGTAGCCCATCTTGCAAGTATTCTAATCCTTTGCCCTAAATGAGTCAGAAGGCAGGATACACTGAGCTGTCTTCGTGCCCTCTTTTTTTGTTCTTGTTTTACCCATTTCAATTTACATGAATGTTTTAATTCATGGTTTGAATTGTCCTGTGTTGTGTATGTATTGGAGTTTCAATACAGCACCACTCCTTTAGACAATTTGGGAACAACTTGAATTCGTGGATTTTTACAATACTGTGGATTCAAGAAGCGCAGTAAGCTCACACAACACAACTGAAAACCTCGCTCACGTCTTGAAAGACATCAAGTTCATTAATATTTTTAAAAACTACTGACCTTCACCCTCTCCAGCTGAAGCTTCTTCTCCTGCAGGGTGTTCTGCTTCTGAGAGTCGGCAGCCACCTGCCCTTCCAGATCCTTGAGCCACCTCTGCAACTGCTCCACGCTGTCATCGTAGACGGTCCACTGCGCCAGCGTGCCATCCAGCTGCGTCTTCGCTTCGTTGAGCTCGGCCGAGAGGGCGTCGTACTCCTGCTGCAGCGTCTGCATGTCCCGGCGCATGTTGTCGCGGCCTGACACCGAGGTGTTGGGCAGCACCATCTGAAGGTTGTCCAGCGTGATCTGTAGCATGTGCATCCCCTCCTCCTTCTCGTTCAGCAACTCCTGGGGAAGCAAAACATCGGCCATCAGTTAGTGGATGTTCTTAACCCAAAATCTGGAAATTTTCTTTCATTGCAGTTTTTACATCTGTGGTATCGTTGCAAGTTCTTAAGAAACATTTTGTCAAAACTCACATTGAAATGTTGAAAAAAGCAAGAAAAGATACATAGTTTATGTAAAAGTTTTAAAATAATGAAATAGTTTTTTTTTCTATCTTCTGAAAATTTTTTATTTCGGCAGTTGTTTAGATAGAACAGTTGAAAGCTTGCAGGCGAAAAGCATTTTTTTCCCATTTTATATAAACATTAGTGGACAAAATAATATTGGTGGTTCTGTCTGTCTCTTCATAACTATCAAGAGATTCACAAAATAATTCCTGTCCACCACTGAGTCAGAGGATACAGTTACAGACACAGACACACAAAGGACCATAAACACAAACACCATCAACAACAGAAACCAAGCTAAACATTTTTAAAAACTTACCTGGACCTGGCCCAGCCTGTCCTGTACTGTGGACTTATCACCACTGGTGTCCACCACTCTGGCCACTTTGTCCTTCATCTGTGCCAGCCAGGCTCGGCACTGGTCAAATGACTCCATGTAAGCCTGGTGGTCAAGCACGTACTGCTCCCACCGACGGCACAGCTCCTGGACACATAGAAAGAATGAACAAATAAAGAATAATAAATAAATTAAACTTTATAGATCCACATAGGGAAATCTGGGTTACAACGGAAAACATAAAAACATAAATTTATATTTATGCATACAAATATACATACAAAGAATAACAAATACGCAATATCACACAAATGTGGACAATTTTGCAAACATGCAATTGGTGATCCCCATTGAGCAGTGCTGTTTTTTTTAAAGCAAGGGTTTTGTGTCTTGCTCAAGGACACATCCTAGTGACCACCCATCATAGCCCCATATCACTGACACTTACTTGACATACAACCTTGATAAAGACAAGTACGGTATTTCCATTTTTTCCTTACTATTCCTACACACAGCCTGCGTACTGTCTGATATTTGCTGATACATTTCAACTTCAACATTCTTGTTCCTTAATTACAATGAACGGGAAAACAATCTTCCCAGAAATTGTGAGGTATCGTATCAAGAGTTTAGCAGTGACACTTTTGATCTGAATAATACAGGACAAAGAAAAAAACTGGAATTTTTCCAAAGCACCAGAAAAGAAAGAACAATGCAATAAGTCCAATGGAATAACAACACCTTCAATACCATAATTCAAATTTCATAACACATGATTCTAATTTTGATACAAAAGTAAATCAGTACTTAAAGCATGCTCCTCACAAAACTCATACGTCACAAAATATTATGACTGAAACATACCTTGAGATTAATGGTTGCAGACTGATACTTTGTGGTCAACTGAGATGCTTGGCTGACCACACGTGAGTCAGCGCTGACCCGCACCAAGTCCTGGGCTGCATCGCTCAGAGAGTCAAGGTCGCTCTGGTGGTTGGCAACTTCTGTCTGGAGAGCCTGTTTGATAAGTCAGTTTTTCAGTAAGCAAACATTGTTTTCAAAACTCCAAAAACTCAGGGGGGGGGGGGGGGGGGGGCTGCTTAGGATGAAAAGTCCCTGACAATAAACTGGTAAGTTAAAGAAAAAAGCCTTGAATTGTTTGTTTTTTAAAGTGCGGTCACTTACGAAAAATCCACAGACAAAGGTGATTGTGCTTGCATGAAAAAATTGGTGCTCCTTATCCCATGGACATATGATTTACACCAAAATTTTGGCATTCAAGTCTACCGGAATCATATCCCTAGGCCCTGCACACATCCTATTCGCGATAATAGTATCATAGCATATTAAACAGTAACAAAAGTACCTTGAGCTTATCCAGCTGAGTCTGTTTTTCCGGCAGTGTGGCGCGGAGGTCGACATCACGCAGACGAGACTCCAGGTCTTTCAGCCAGGCTCCGCAACGTTCGTGCCATGACTCAAAGCCTTTCCATTGGTCCATGCATGACTCAAGGTCACTTTTGGTCTGAGGAAGGTGTTGAACGTCCAATTTTAAGTCACACTTTTAGGAGCAGAACAGCTGAGTTATTGTTCTGTCAAGGTTTACTGTTGTTTAGTTTAGTTTCAGTAGAGGTTTTACGGCACTCGCAACTGCATAAGGTCATATGAGCGCCAGAAGATTAGAGCTGCTACAAGAGAGTAACAAACATAAAAAAGAAGAAGGGGAGATAAGGACGATAGATCTTTGATAGGAAAGAAGAAGCAAACCACACCAGAGCACCCGCCAACCACCCACATTTACTGTTGTAATGCTTACTTTGTTCGGCGTTGTAACCAAATTAAGAAACCATTATCCATGCTCAGTAGAAAAGGGAGGGTACCATAAGTGAAATCATGGTAAGCAATCAATTTTCTTTGCCAACATCAAAGTCAGTATGGCATGAAGATATCTTTAAAAAAATAAAATAAAATAAAATAAAATAAAATAAAATAATAATAATAATAATAATAGTAATAGCAATAATGATCATGATGATGAAAATAATTTCTACAGTTCCCACTCCCATACAATACAAGGCGCTTTACAATACCTTCATCTTTACACAAAATACAAGAAAATGAACACATTTTTAACACCCTCAAATGTATACATCCAAGCAAACTCCAGATTCTCAGGGGCAATTCTGGAGTCCCATATTCAGCAACATAGCCGTAATTTGACAAAGTGAAATAAATAAAACACAAGACCCCCCCGCGGTAAAAAAGAGTGAAAAAGAAAAGAAAGAAAATGAAAACAAAACATATAACTATTAATTTTTAAAATGTATGGTTTGCTCCTTTTTCTTATCAAATATCTTTCCTCCCAGTCTCTCCTCTGTCTTTTCTTTGGAAAACACACCTCTAATCTTTTGCTCGCATTTGACCTATTTGTGCTGCAAGCGCCACAAAACTCTTACTAAAACCTAAAATGTAAAAAATAATAAAACAAATTAAAAAAAACAAAAATACAAAAAAAAACAAAAAACCCAAACAAATTTTACAACAAAAGGTAAAAGTACCGACCTTGGCAAGTGCCCTGATGAAGGCCTCCCAGTCAGCTTTGAGGGCGTCCGTGTCCCGTGTGATGATGTCCCGACCTTGAGGAGCCGTGTGTGGGAGGACCTGCTCCGATAGCTCCAGGACCTGCTTCACCTTGGGCTCCCCCTCCATCTTGGTGGCCAGAATGTCCTGGGAAAACCAGAGGAAAAAGTTTTAGAGTTAGATGGATTGATTCTGAATGAGCCTTACTAAAGCTCCTTTCAATACGAGATACATATTTGAGACAAAAACAAATATACTGCTCATATTAAAGAAAAACCCGGTATTTCTTGGCAAAAACTTTCTTTTTGCGTTGGAGAAAAAAAAAGGATTACATATTATCATACTACTATAGCCATCTATTATGGTTTTAACACCCCTTTCACTGCCACAGTAAGCTTATTTAAAAGGTTTGCACTAAGGCCACACAACGATTTATAAGTCTGATGCACATGTGTATTGATTATAAACATTTAACGCCTCTTAAGTCACACGTTGTGGCATAAAAACTTTAAATCTAAAACAAGAATATTAAAAGAGAATACACTTCTTTCATTTTTCAATAACCTTTCCGGCATACTTTCACAAAAGACCCCATTTCAATGTTTCCCATTTTCTTCAAGTGCCTGCATATTTTATATACATGTGGTCATCAACATCACTCAAAGTGAAAAAAGATATATAGATCTATTTATTATATCCGTGCATCTATGCAAAGACACAGTTGTGTGAAAGAAGGTTATCAGCAATTTAAAATCAACAGCAAATTTACAGAAAGTAAAATATTATTTATCATCTGTCTATCCGAGCACTTTTTAGGTTGAAGTTGTCTGTACTTTGTAATCACATCAGTAATTTTGCCCAAACATAAATACGAAGGAAAATAATCTAATCTATTTTCATTATTTAGCTTTAGTATCCTATCTTACAGAAGAACCACAGATACCGAGGTACCAAATTCAGGTAGAATACGATAGAACTACAAAACTAATTGACAAAGAAGAAAACTCCCTCTTCTACAAAAAGGAAATAAAAATAAAAGAACCTAAAATATGTCAATAACAAAATTCATACGCTTGTAAACTCAGTAAAACCAACATTGACTAATGATATCAAAGCAACGCTGCACACATTGAGTGGAGTAATACTCTGAGAAAGTGCAGTCACATCTCAAAAATGTAATAGAAAAATATTAGTTAAACCAGTCTATTGGAGGAATTAACTTAAAATGTAATAACATGCCTTTGAGATGTTTTTCCCCATGATTTCCAACCTAAACTTAAGTGAATTGAAAATACCAAATTACTTTGAATGTTCAATATGATAAGTTATATTTACAGATATATTTTCATTTTCTATATCCCACTTTTAATCAGTCATTACTTCATATTTTCATAACTGCCCTACCCATTTACGATCACTGAGAGCACCATTTGTATCAAACTCTCACTCTCCACTTCTTTCTTCTTTGTGTGTAAATGTATTGTAAAAAAGGCTTTTCTAGATCTAGGAAAAACTAATGCGACCTGAACATAAAGACCAAAAGTAAAATCCGCTAATCTCTCATCTTAATCCATGTTGGATCTTTTTTCTTCCCAGCCCGTTATCAATTTTCCCCCTCATAGTACCAAAAACTCAAGGCAGCCTCCATTGCTTATTTATCAATTACACTATTTTTCAGTTTTGTCCCTCGTCTCAGTGTTATTCCAGCAGTATTATTCACTCGTGAGTTATCTAGTGCTGATCACAAACAACAAAATCACAGCATGAACGGTGACTGCACAGCATAAAAGGTTGTTGTTAAATACATAGTTTGTAGGTGAGGAGCAGACAGACAGTGCATTTATTGTCATTTTTTTTTGGGGGGGGGGGGCAGGATGGATGGAGAGGGTCAGGAAGTTTTGGGAGGAGGGATAACATAACAGTAATAACAACCAATGATCCATCAGGCACACATGTGGGGAAATAGAAAAGGGAAGGGCGCGAGGAAGGACGGGGGAGTGCTGTAGGGATTGAACATTTGAGGGATTTTGTGAGTGGGGGATATTTGGGCTTGTGGCATGAACAAGTAAAGTAAAAGGAACAATAAACATTCAAGGCAAGAGTAAGGAATGATTTTGAAGAACAAAACCAAACAAAAACAACATAACAGGTGAAAATGAGGGTGTGTCTAGCAGAGATTTTTAAAGACATTCACGGAGGAAGGAGGAAACATCATGCATAATAACAGACCATTCTAATCTTTGTACTAGTTCTCATGAACAGAGACAGATCGTATTGAATCAACAGTTGAGAAGAGGTAGAGAAAACGGTGTAAAAGTAAAGGAGAGAAGGAGAAAAGAGTAGCAAAGGAAGAAACGGAGCACATAAAGGAGAACTAATGAAAATACAATAACGTGAACAAACTTAATACATATCTTTTCTAAAACCCCCTCCAACTATTCGACACATTTTGAGAAATGAATATTTAATGGTCTTTCAAGGTACTTTTTCTTTATCAAGAAATAAGTGTCTCAACTTCGATTTGTCAATGTGCTAAAATATGGAATACATGTTCCTTTAAATATAGTTTAGTTTCACTTGCATCACTACTATGTGTCATTGGCATGCAGTACAGTTCACACAAGTTGGGTTTTTTTTATGTTCAGTGTGAGCATGACTTACAAAAGTTTACATCAAACTATAAATAAGTGCCATACAACTCTAAGTTTTACAGTTTTCTACAGTTTAGAAAACATTTAGTATGATTACAGTTACGAATATTTGAATAATAATCAAAATTTTCCTTGAAAATGGAAAAAAACAACAACCCGAGCAACTTTGCCAAATTTTGCTAATAAAATTACATAGTTGAATTAAAGATTGCAATTTACTTGCGCCCTTCAAATATCACAGTATTCATTATCTCTCTCTGATAGTTTACGCAGCAAAATCAAAGCTATTTATAAGCTATGGGTATCAGACTGTCTACCAAGCTGCTAACAAATTCTTTGCACCCCGAAGCTGTAAACAAAAGGCAAGCAAACCCTCATAAAATGAAACAGCTGGTTCAGAATTATACAGAGCATGGCAAAAAGCTATAATACTTTGATGACAAATTCTCCTTAGCCTCCCAGGAGTCAACATGATTAATTATGATGAAATTATACGGTCATACTTATTCCAAGGACAAGAAATATTTTTAAAATGTGGTTGATTAAACTTCATTTTACTAAATTAATTTAATTTAAAAATTCTTCGTATCATCGAAGATTACGGGGCTCCATTTTGTCTTTTTTAAAGCTTAAACCATTTCACACTAATATCCTATCATAGTGCAGAAAATTTCCATACGACTTTGAAGTGAAAAGCAGTAAACCAAATCAAGTGATAAACGCCCAACTCAGGAAGCACAACTTTACAATTCTGAATGGAATGATTTCAATAAAATTCACCGAACAGATCACAGACCAATATTCCAAACCATTTTAACTGTATTCTCATAACCACATTAGAATCTCAAAAACCAACATTTAATCTGATTTTTTTTTAAATGAATGAAATTTTTCTTCTCGTCAGTGCATTAGTATCTGAAAAGCTTAAATCTTTTGCAACCGAAGCAAGGCCAGGGGCTCAACCACAGGGAAGGTCAAGGACAAGGTACATTAAAGCTTCCTTGTACCGTCGCAGGCATTTTACTCACATGTAAACGTGACGTTATAATTTGGGAAGGTTTGTAGCCATCCGAGGGCAAGAACTTGAAAACAGATCGATTGATGACCATCAACAAAAATAATTTATTATGCTTGGTTAACTACCTTGGGATATTACGATTCAAGGACAGTACATTTTTAAATAGAAAATATCCTCTGTTTTTTGTTTGAGCCAAGAGAAAGAAGCCCATTGACACAACAAAGGCCATTCTGTACTTGGAAAAAAGGAAGACAGACAGGCAGAAAGAAAACACAGGGATAGAAGAGAAGTAGGAACTATCAAGGGCACTTTTTATCCACCCATAGCTGACATCCAGTGCAGACATTATAATGCTCTTTAATTGGTAAACGTGTTACAAGGTTATCATAATAATAATATTGCATACAAAAGTGAGAGTACATACGGGGGGGAAAGAGAGGGGAGGGGGGAGAGAGAAAGAGAGAGCAA